GGTGGTGTCGCGGAGAGAGACGGGAGGAAGAAGGTTATGGGTTAATGGTTTTAGGGTTTGAGATAGATATAAATTAATTTATTGTAAAAAAAAATTGAAAATTTTTTTTAATTATTAATTAAAACTTGATTTTTGAAAAGTGGAACTTGAATCAGGATTTATGAAAATGGAAATCTAAAAGCAGGTGTATGTGTAATTTCCTCTAAATTTTAATGGTTTTAGTCCATAGAAGTTCCAAAGAATCGAGACTCGGTCGATTATGGTTCGGTTCTAGAACCTAGAACTGATCCTAACCTTTTTTCTTTCTTTTTTTATTATTATTATTTTTCAAAATATTGAGATTGTTGTTCAAGTACCAATTAAGCCATTTTTTCACACCACAATAAATCTAACTAATGCACACAACAAAACATCTTTTACACTTCAAACTTCAAATGCCTAATTTTGTCCCCAAAATTTCAATTTTTTCATTTGCACTAGGGGTGCGCGCAGTTCCGAATAGATCATAACAGAGAACTAATACATTTCTTATAATGCAGCCAGAGCTTTCACATGTAATTATAGAATCGGACCGAAATTGGACCGAATCAAATAATTTTGGTTTATTTTGGTTTCAATTACATAACCAAAATTCCTATATTATTAATACAAATTACAGTACAAAGTTTTATCACCAAAAGTCGATACTCACATCAAAAATCAAAACGATAAGCATCATTCAATACAAACAATATATTCCATCTTCGTACAAAATATTATCTAGTAGAAATCATTCATCAAATCAACATAATTAATTAATAAAAAGCTGGGTTAGAACTGGTTATTAGTACTAAACCAAAATAGAACCAAGATACGACTCGTTCTTGGTTGTAGAAATTAGAAATGCTTCAAGTTTAAGCACAACCGAATAAAATGGCTAGTTCTGGTTTGGTTGGCTAGAGTATTTTGCCCATTCCGAATTTGCATTGAATGTGGCTTATTATATTGATATTGGATGTGCGTAAATTTGCATTAGTGATTTCGAAATCTTGGTTATAGAACCAAATTAGAATCGTTCAGTTCAATTCCGATTTGATCCAAAACTTACAAATGAAACTAATAGTTCCATTATAAGATAACAAGTAAATCTCAAACTGAATTACATCCACTATTTCCTCACCTAAATTTGAGTTTCAAAGCATTGCATCAGATCAGACGCAAAGGTGATACTTGAAGTGGACCATGGTTGAATAGAATTCAAATAAATGCAGTATGACCCACACAAAAAGTTGAAAAGAGTAATTGATCCCATCTCAATCATTTACTTTCTAATCAATCTCTATCTATGTGGTGTGTATATATATGTGTATATATACATATATCATCAAATTAGAAAAGAGTCACTTCTTTAGGCGGCAAATCGGGTGGGTCCTTCATCTGTTGCCCTTTCTATTCTGCTCTGCAATTTCTAGTTTTTGGAATGGGACAACAGCAGCATGCCAAGTGGCAACATTTCATTTCCTTTAGATAAACTTAGGTCTACACGTATCTTTTTTTTGAGCATTTGAATATTTACTCGACACTTTCTGTTTTATATTATCTTAAAGGATTAAAATTCAGATTTTTATTTAAGTTAGAGTAAATAAATGATATTTTGCACTCACGACTGGATTTAGAAAATGAAGTTTTATCGACCACTACTAATACGAGATATTAGGAGTTTACTTGTGACATGTTCACTAACTTCACTTTTCTAATGGTGATCGTTTGTATAACTCTAGAGTTCGAGAAACGATGGTTCACTCATTCAATCATACATTGTTATGCGATGAGCATTAATGTAGCAGGTGAAGATCAATATATCAATCAATGATGTGATAAGGTATATTCAACGTTATTAGAATAAATTTTTTCCACTACTTTTCGAGCTTATTCTTGGATTTTAAGGTTTATGCATACCTCAAAAATCAGGGTATCACATCATGGTTGGTAACAAAGTTGAGAAAATTTGCAAATATATAGTTATACAAAATCTAGACAAATCAAAATGCTCCAAAGTAAATTTACGAAGCACATATTCCTACGTATAGGTCCCGATAGCAGTGGCAAACAAGCTGAGCCGAGCCGAGCCGCTCGGCTCGTTGCCCATGAGCTCGAGCTCGTGGCTCGTTATAAAACGAGCCGAGCTTGTGCTCGGCTCGTTTGCTCGTGGGCGAGCTCGGCTCGGCCCACGAGCTCGTACTGTAGCAAGTCAAGCCGCTCGGCTCGTTTTTTTTGAATTTTTTTTTTTTTAACTATCATTCTTAAAAATAAAAAATAAAAAAAAACGAGCCGCTCGTCAAAAGCGAGCCGAGCAGGCTAGGCTTGCCTACCGAGCCGGCCTGCTTGGCTCGTGCTCGGGCTCGTTTTTTTTCGAGCCCGAACGGCTCGTGGGCCGCTACAGTACGAGCCGAATCGACGAGCCGCTCGGCTCGATTGCCACAACTAGGTCCCGAGACAAACATGCACACATCATATATTAAATGTTATGCTCCAAAATTATACCCATTTAATCGAAAAAACATCTATATAATTCTCACATTGTTCTAATTAAATGAGATTTCATGCGAATAAGAAGTGCGACACGAGAAGCCACAATCAAAATGTAAAAGTCATGTAGTGAAGAGAACAATTATATTATTGTTGCAAGAAGTCAAGTTGTGGGGTTTTCTTGATTGGTGTGTCTATATACAAATAATGCTTGATAAAGTTCACAAGTACATGGATTAAACTGAGTGTTTTTTACCCATAAAAGTAACAAGTTTTTCTACTTACTTCCCAATTGATAATTAAAAGTAACAAGTTTTTCTGCTTACTTCCCAATTGATAATTTGGGTATCGCTTAAAGTGAATTTTTTTGTCGCTTCAATAATCCGAAAAAATGTTGGGACTCTCTCTCCCATTGCCTGTTTGACACAGAAGTTACGACGTTAATAAATTAACATCAATCTTTTCTAATTATATTCGAGTGAAATTAGGTTTTTTTTTTCAAATCGAAGTATGTAAAAAGGTTACTTATATGAAACATTATTCTACATTGGAGATAAGATTAGTAAATTACTAAAGTGGAAATTACAAGAAATGCACTTTCACATTATCATTTGTAAAAATGTCCAAAATTTATTCAATATCCATTTTACAATATTTTGACCAAAATACCCTTTTAACAATTTATAATTCCACACTGAAGACAAAAATGTGCATACAATTAAAAATTTTGTTGCCCAATAAAATTTTGACACATAATCTACCTTACATATTTTTAAAGTACACATGTGTCAAATCACAATAAATACTATATTTCTTATTAACACTTGTATTGAATATCGAAAACTACATTTCAAATGTCAAGAACTTTATGAAATTCAGAGAACCCTCATGTTCGGAATGAAATCTCATTCTAGACAAATGAAATATCAAGATAAACAGAGGTCAAATTTAAAATGTCGAGAACATCATTTTTTTTGAAATTCGTGACAAATTGAAAAAAAAAACATACTTCATTTTTCCTTAAGGGTATAATAAAATTTAGTACAGATTCGATCATTTTTACAAGAGTTATCAAAATTAGACATTTTTTAATTGATAAGCATTAAATTTGACTACTAGTGAGTTGTGATGAGTAGGAAATAGCATCTATTCTGAACAACGGCTACATTTTTCAATATCCAAAGAGATGCCTCCAACACTTCAATATTATTTTAAACAATTAATCTCTGTAAAAACAATAGTTTCTTTTTGTCCTTGGCGGGAACCCCTAAATGGTCCCGCTTTAATTGCAGAGCTGTCAAAATCATTGACTCCAAACACTGTTGAATTGAATGTAAAACTCACTTTTCATGGATTGGTCCCAACATATCCCGGATGGCACGGACAGTATCACACAAAAAAATAGAAAGTGGCAAAAGGTTCCAAAAATAAGAAATTTTACTCCAAAAATAATTGAAATTTCAAAACTAGCTACTGATAACAATCTTTTCCTGACAAGAAAAGCAGAAAAAAATGTAAATGTAAATGGACTTGGCTTGCAAATTTCAGTTGATGGTCATGCTGGAGAATGATGGGTGGTGGGATCTGCGGATGAGGGAATATCGGGGCCAACTCGACAACCTTCGAGCATGAACACGATATCAGCCATGGTGGGTCGGTCCAATGGGACGGGTGCTGTGCAAAGCAAACCAACTTTTATTCCAAGCAAGAATTCTTCCCATTCTGATGATTCGGGGTCAAGTTCAAGCAGCCCAGGTTCTAAAAGCTCGGAAATTTGACCTCTTTGCAATTGCCTCTTTACCCATTTCACTATATCTTCGTCTTGTGTGAACATCACCGGCCTTTTTCCAGTTAGAAGTTCTAACAATACAATGCCAAAGCTATAGACATCTGATTCTTTCGTGACTTCACCAGTCAAAGTTGATTCTGGTGATACATAGCCTAATGTTCCAACTGATGTTGAAGTTGAGGGCTCAGTTGCAGTGGCCACTGTAAGCTTATCGAGCCCAAAATCTGACAAATGTGCTTCAAAATCTGCATCGAAAAGCACATTTTGGGGCTTCACATCGCCATGTACCATTGAGGCTGCGTGGAGAAAAGCCAAACCACGAGCAATGCCAAGTGCAATGAGGTGACGCATTGGCCAATTGAGGACATGGCCATCTTGGTGGGATGCTTCTTGGAGTAATGTAGCGAGGTTTCCATTTGGCATGTAATCATAGACAAGGAGTCTGACGTCAGGTGAACCAGTATAGTATCCACGAAGAACTGTTAAATTTCGATGCTTCACTCTGCCTAGTGATTCTGCTTCTTTTCTGAACATGTTCTCAGCAAGTGATCCATTTGGAAGTCTGCGTATTGCAAGCACCGTTCCATCATTGTAACATGCTTTGAAGACTACTCCATGTCGGGTTCTGCTCAGCACATTCTCCTCATCAAACTGCCTCGTTGCTTCAATTGTTTCTGCTAATGTGATTTTGTCATTGAACATAATAAGCTTCATTCCATTTTCGCTACTGCGACGACCTCCACTGCTCTTTGAACTAGCCCTAGCTGGGCTGTGCTTTTTCTCCCCGGCAGCCCCACTTTTTACTTTCTCGCGCCACCTCAAGAAACTGTAAACGTAAAAGCAGCAACATGATACCATGAGGAGAATTCCGCTAGCAGCCACAGCAATAAAGAGGATCAGCTTGTTTTTCTTATTTCCCATACCACCTTCCTCGCATTTTCTATCCAATGGCTTCCCACACAGTTCTTCATTACCCAAGAATAATGATTGATTGTTAAACCTAGAGCTTAGCATTACTGGAATTTCACCTTCCAAGTTATTGTTTGACACATTGAAATTCACCAAGCTGGAAATTAATGTAAGATTGGCTGGAATCTGTCCAGTCAAATTGTTTGAATCGAGTAAAAGAGAATTTAGTGACGAGCAATTTGATAGTTCATCGGGGATTCGACCAGTCAAATTGTTCAATCCCAAATCAAGAACACTCAAATGTGAAACATACGAGAGGGAAACAGGAACTTGCCCACTCAAAGAATTTGAGCGAAGATCTATAACTTCTAGAGCTGAACAATTCCCCAACTCTGGAGGAACTGAGCCAGAAATGTGATTGTTTGACAATGAAAGAACAACTAAAGACTTCAAGGCACCAAAAGTGGAAGGAATACGACCAGAAAACGAATTGAAAGAGAGATTCAAATACTCCAACCCAATCAAGCTACTCAAACCTTCAGGAACTACACCCAAAAACATGTTTTCCTGCAATGCAATCACTTTCAGATTAGGCAAACCCAAAAGATCGGATGGCAACTCTCCTGATAGATTCTGTTTACTCAAATCAAGAATCGTCAACTTAAACAGACCCCCAAAGCTTGCTGGAATGGTACCCGAAAAACCATTATTACTCAGATTCAAAACTGCAAGTTGCTTTAAATTCCCAATGCTCACTGGAATAGGCCCAGAAAACTTGTTTCCACTAAGATCCAATGAACTCAAGTTTCTCAAAAGCATCAGTTCATCAGGAAACACTCCAATTAAGTGATTGCCTCCTAAATTAAGACTCTCGAGCATTGTCAAATTACCAAAACTCAAAGGAATAGAACTTGAAAAGTTATTTCCACCAAGGGATAGAAACTTCAAACTTTTTAACTCACCAAAAAACCCAGGAAAATCCCCTGTGAATAAATTACCCTCAAGATCAAGAACTTGTAAATTACTACATTTCTTTATATCAACAGGAACCAAATCACTGAATGAATTGTTCGCCATGTTCAACTCCTCCAATCTCCACAAATTTTGAATCTCATTCGGAATAGAACCCGAAAATAAATTACCTGAAATATCAAGCTTTGTCAATGTAGAAACATTAGTCAAGAAGGGCGGAAATTTTCCAGCAATTCGATTCTGCTGAAGATCCAAAATCTGCAAAACACTGAAGCACACATCGGACTCTAGCGAGCCAATGTCCGTAAAAACATTGAACCCTAGCTGAAGAATCCGAATTGACGGAGGAGAATCTGACACATTGCAGAACAAAGACCCAGGCACCGAACCAGATAGATTGTTACGCGACAAGGTAACGACCTGAAGATTTGATAGAGAGCCGATCCCCGCCGGAACAACGCCGCCAATTGCATTACCCTCGGCGCTTAGATGCACTAGCGACGAACAGTTGGCAAGTGCCGAAGGCAATGTGCCTTGCAGATTATTGTAGTCTAACCAGAGGTACTGTAGATTCTGAAGTTGCCCGAGACTCGCTGGAATCTCACCGGAAATCCGGTTGTATGACAAATTGATGAGCTGCAGCTGGTAGCCAGAGGAAATATTATTAGGTATATCACCGGAAAATGCGTTTGAAGAAAGATCAATGAAACGGAGATTCTTGGGGAGGTCACCGGGGATTTCGCCGGAGAGGTAGTTTCCGGCAACGTTAAGGACTAAGAGGTTGGTGAGGTTCAAGATTACCGACGGAAGGGCGCCGGAAAATGAATTGTACTGGAGGAATATTGAGTTAAGAAGAGTGCATTTGGAGAGAGATGAAGGAATGGTGCCGTTTAAGGAGTTGGAGTGGAGGCTCAGCTTTCGCAGCATTCGCAGGTTAGCAACCTGCGGTGAGAGTGCACCGCTGAGGTGGAGTCGCGGGAGGCGGAGCTCACTAACCCGGCCGTTGTAGCAAGCGACGCCACGCCAGTCGCAGGGAGCCGACGGCGTGGAGGGCTCCCAGCCGGAGAGTGCGCCAAGTGGGTCATGTAGGCTCAGTTTAAAGGCGTTCAATGCTTGGATCTCGACTTGGGTACCGGCGTTGAGCTCGGCGCTCGATAACAGATGGGTGCAAATCAGCAGCAGGAACACAATAGCAGTGGCGGCCATGGAAACAAAATAAAAAAACAAGCTTGAAAATTTTTTGTTTATCTTATGGGGAGTGGGTTAGGGTAATGAGAGTGCGCAGTGAGCAGGGTGTGAGCGTTGACAGACAGAGTGATGGCCATACTTGGTGCGCAACCCCGCCTCTTCATTCACAATTTTACTCACTCCGAAGAAATCCCTGATAAAGAGTTTTATCTCTCTTCCAGTGTGTGTTTGTGTGTACTGTTCCTAAAGCAAAAAGACTGGAGAAACCATTTTAGGCAGGTGGATAGTACATATGGGGATGCGTTGGCACTTTTTAACTTCATATGGCTTGAATCATTGACCTCCTTTCTTAAACTATCCTTTTACCTCTATTCCCTTTAATTTTAATTTTATGGATTTTATAAAAGGTTTAATCAACTTATAATTTTAGAAAAAGCATTGTAAAATGTAAACATGCTCTTAACTACAATAATGATATGTTTCGATATATTTCCATTTTTACTTTTGATAAGTGAGTTCTTTTCCCACCAACCAAGTGATTATTGTAAATTTCGACGCAACCAACTTAAAAAAGTAATTCGGGAGAAATTGTTCTAAATCATTGAAAGTTCGTTTATCGACGCTTCTACTTTTGCTTCCGATTTTCGTAGAAGAGCTTGTTCGAAAAGTTACTTTAAAGCAGCCCGTTATAAAAATTCTTCTAACTGACAAAATATGTTCAACAAATTATTTAAACATGTTTGTACTTAGGGTGTGTTTGAGCCACATTATTTTGAAAAAATGTATTATGAAATAGTAGATTGATGGAGAATGCGTGGTTGAAAAGAAAGGAAAATTTATTGATATGATGGAAAATATTATTTTATTGAAAAATATGTGGTTGAAAATTAGTTTATGAGCATCAGTTGTAACTTTTTAACTTTTCGAAAGTCATATCAAATGAATCTGAATAAGATTAGTCAACTGATGTAATAAATAAAGTTTTAATTTCAAAACACTTGACAAAACTAGGCAATATAATAATTTTATATTTGTATAATAAGAACGCATCGGATTGAACATGTGATTAATTATAAAAATTACTCCATGATTGTACATCGATATTTAGCTTATGCTAAATAAATCTAATTATTTTATGGGATACATCGCTGTCTTTCATCACATTAATTAATGTGACAGATCATTAGAAGATCAAACGAAATATTTACTTCGTTTACAACCAATTCTAGCAGCATTTATTGACATTTAAACCTACTGTTAATGTCCATTTGTTCGGTTCTTTTTTTGGACTTCTTTCCACCTCCTTTTCTTCAAATTTTGCGGTCAATGTCTTCGTACTTTTTCATTTTTGACTTTCGAGTCCTTAGTTTCGGCCGCCGTATCATCTAATAATGTAGTGTTTTTGAAACACGTTCCTTTTGATTTAGCTATTAAAAAAATTAAGTTAAAATTAACATTTAATTTTAATTATATATTTCATGAAATTCACAATTTATATCAATTTTTTAATTATACATTTCATCAATCTTTTCATTAAAATCTACTAAAATTTTGATTTTTAACAAAACCAAACAAGGACTGAGAGTGTGTTTGGTAGGAATTTTTAGGGGAAAAATTGATTTTTGAATAGTGATATGATGGGAAATGTGTGGATGAAAATGAGAATTGATTTACTGTAGAAAATAAAAATCTGTACCAAACAGGTCCTAATAAATTGTATAATAAGAACGCATCGGATTTATAAAAATTACATAAATTGCATAATAGTGTAAACATGATTGTACATCGATATTTAGCTTATGCTAAATAAATATAATTATTTTATGGGATACATCGCTGTCTTTCATCACATTAATTAATGTGACAGATCATTAGAAGATCAAACGAAATATTTACTTCGTTTACAACCAATTCTAGCAGCATTTATGGACATTTAAACCTACTGTTAATGTCCATTTGTTCGGTTCTTTTTTTGGACTTCTCTCCACCTCCTTTTCTTCAAATTTTGCGGTCAATGTCTTCGTACTTTTTCATTTTTGACTTTTGAGTCCTTAGTTTCGGCCGCCGTATCATCTAATAATGTAGTGTTTTGAAGCACGTTCCTTTTGATTTAGCTAAAAAATAAATAAATAAAAATTTATGTTAAAAGTAACATTTAATTTTAATTATATATTTCATGAAATTCACAATTTATATCAATTTGTTAATTACACATTTCATCAACCTTTCATTAAAATTTACTAAAATTCTGATTTTTAACAAAACCAAACAAGGACTGAAATATCTAACGCAAGCTCCAAATGAAGGTTGTCCAAATTGATTTAAGTGTATTATATTTTTATATTCTAGCAACGAAATTTAAATAGGAATAAAATTTAATTCATTTATTTAAAACGAGACTTAATCAATATTGTTGTTATGCACAAACTCGAAATTAAAAAATTAAAATTTTATTGAATTGGATTAAGTTTGATATATATTTACAAAAAAAAAAAAAAGAATTTATAATTTGTCATTTTTCTACCTTTTTGTCCCCTCGTATTATTATAGTTGAATATTCTACTTGTCATTGTTTATATTTTATTTGCATCGATAATCGAAAAATATGGTAAACTTTGGTTGGTAGCTGTCTAACGTTATTGGGAGCATATTCATTTTAGCATTTTTAGGAGGCATAAAGCCATATTATAACATTGGCATGCTTCAACCGTGGTGGAGGGAGGGAGGGAGGGAGGTGGGTATTTTGTTTAATTTCTCCCGTACTCTATTTGAAGGACATTTCCCACTTTAGAAAGAGTCCTTTCTTCATTACAGTCTTTTATCTTTTCTTTTTTTTTCTCTTCCCCGTTATCTACTGACGTTTTGATACAATTAAACTTCTATGTCCGAAAGAAAATGTCACTCTTTTTGATAGATACTCACATGAAAGTGAAACCCATGTGAATAAAAAAAATCAAAAAATTCTTAACCCCTATTGTGAGGGGTTTGTCATCCTACCTAACAGCATAGCAGTATTGATTTTGGTATTACATGGTCAAATTTTGCATGAACAAGATATCTTCTAAACTCAAATGACATAGACAATGATGTGGTCGTGGTTGATCAAGCAAAATAATCATGTATACTTGACATAATAAAGAATTGTATTATATACTTTTTATCGTGCTACAATTATCAAGATCATTTAGAATACATATTACCAAACATGATATAACTCATGCAGGGGCGAATGCAGAAGTTTAAAGTTATGGAGTACAATCGAACTTGTAGAGAAGTTGAGAAAATTTTACAATTGAAAATTTACGTCCAAAAAAATCATATCACACGTAATTTTATATCCGAAAATTTACATGAGATATGACTTTTTCGGATATAAAATTTCGAAATTTTTTGATATCATATTCCATATAAAATTTGCTAATAAAATGATGAAAATTACATTGAGAAATTTGTATCACAAAAATAATAAATGTTCATGAAATAATTGAATTTTTTTTT